ATTTCTCTCCGGTGTCGACTGAATTCTTCCCGAAGAAGGGTATTCTCAGGAAGGAGGGAGATTTCCCCGGAATAAGCGACTCATCCAGGCTGCAGGGTTACCGGGCCATTTTTTTCGCGTAACACGCTTCATGCGAGGAAAGAGTCATTCCATCGCAGATGCAATCTGCCGCCCCACGAGAGGGATCACGAGAAATGGGTCGCCCGGTCCGGATGGGCCAGTTTCGGTAGAGCGAAAAAGTTTGCTCCTCGTCCTCCACTCGAAAGGACGACTCGTCCCGCTCGAGGGGTCGCGAGTCGCGCGAATTTCACGAATTCCCCGAGCGGACCGGCTAAGTGCAACCTCCAGCGGGAAACGGCATTCTGATAGATCCCGTTAGCCGAAAACTTCGGAGAACTATCCTCGATTTGGAATCCTTTGGAGAGACCGAACTCGCAAAAGGTCCTTTAGCCGATTGGTTTCGCGCGCGGCCGAAGTTGCGGAACCTCCGGAGATACTCGCGGGGAATTTTCATTTAACGAATTGCCGCGAGAAGCGATCCCCGTAATCTTCTTCCGTCTGATAACGCGGCTGATATATCGCGAAGAAAAATGGTCCTTATAAATCTCGTCCATCCGATAACGCGCGTGATATGGAGAATTCTCGCCCAAGTCGGTCAAACTCGAGGCTGCCCAGGGGGGGACCGCTTCGAATTCCGACCTCGTAGATGCCGGGGGAGGAGCCTGACCCGGTTCGGTCAAACGGCGACTTAAGGCTCCCGGAGGCCGCGCGTTGCCTCGCTCGCCAAAGTCGCCAAAGTCGGCGAAGTCGGTGAAGTCGCCGAAGTCGCGAAACTCGCCAGAGACGCGAAAGACGCCCTAGCCATCGCTCGTGCGCCGGGATCCAATGAGGACCCTCGAGGCTCCCGGGACGATAATCTCGTAGAAACCGGAAATGCGGTCGGAAATGCGGCCAGAAATGCGTCCGGGGCGACTCTGATTCCTCCAGGAGGCGGAAACTGCCCACGGTTCGTTTCCTCCCTATCGAAGAGACCGGCGAGAACGCCCATCCACGTCTGCACCTTCCGGATCCGGAAATGGAGGAACCTCCCTTGCGAATCGATGGAGCCGTCATCCATCGATGGATTGATGGGTGGTTAGGTGGATGGATGGGTGGGAGGTCGGGTGAATGAGCCGACGGATACACGTCAGATCAAAATGACAATCCTGCATGTGTCATGCTGTATTCCGGCGCATAAATGCATGCAGCTCCCGAGCCTTCGCGCGGCTTTTAGTTGTCTCGGTGCATCGATGGATTTAAAAATTCTTGGTAAAACTAACTCATCGATGCATGCGCATTAATCTTCTTCCGAGTTTTCCTGCACGTGTTGCGAAGGGAAAATCTCAGACACGCCGGGTCATGGATATGTTTCACAGGCTAAGGAAGTCTAACAACAGATTTTTACCGTTTTAGATGGTAATATTTGCTTAAAAATAATTGCAAAACATTGATGAGCGACACCCTGCCACAAAAAGTTAATACTGCAGTACTTCCAAAATACCATCTTCCTATACATGGTGTCATTTATTTCCGCATTCTTTTTGAACGGAGAAAATATAAACAATTTGAATCGTCCGTAAAAAGGACACAAATTCCCTCCTTTTTTTAAAGTGATTGAGCTGCTTCACGGAGGGTCGGGGGAAGGCGTTCCCAGAGGGAAGAATGATTTTCCATTACGGCGCTAGTTTGCGCCAGTTCGCAGTACTTTGCGGATTCGGTATGACGGCAAAGATGTATTTCGTCCGCGACTTGAAAACCGGGTCAGCTGGCAGGCTATCGGAGATGATTAATGCGAGTTCTCGATTACCGACGTCGCCTGGAACGACCGAGCACACTTCGATTACTTTCAGCCCGGGGAAGTCGAACCGGAAAGTCTCTCGGAAATGTTATCAAGAGAACTCCTTGGCTTAACAATTAATTCCCAACATGACGTGGCTCGTTCTACGAAAGCCCAGACGAAACTCCCAAATATTAAAAAAAAAAAAACGAAATAGCGATTTTAAACCGGTGGGCTCCAAGCTTGGAACAACAAAGTCACGAACATATATCACGAACTATAGGCAATGTCGATGAACCCAAAAAATCTCAAAACGTTACTAATATACACGTATACGGAATATGATTTCGAACCGAATGAATTATGAAGGGTAATAACCACTTCCGTAGCACGATATTTTATTCTCAAGATGAGACGCAAGACGGCACTTGTATACATTAAAAAAAAAAGTATTTTATCCATTTCAGAAAAAAAATGATCGCGTACGTACAAAACAAGACGACGTCACGTGTATCCATATGCGTACATATGTACGAAGGCGTGCTCGGTGGAACAAGTTCGGCGCGATACGAAGCAGCATTTCGATCCCTCCGGTGGCCGGCAAGGCCTGGACAAGGGGACCCTCCTAGCCGGGATGAATCTTGTATGACTCGAAGTCCCTCCAGGAGCCATCGAGTGTCCGAGAGAGGAGGTGAGAGTATTGATCCCAAAGACAGGGGCTCGATCCGCGAGAAAGTGGACGGCGCAAAATGGTCTCGAGGCGGCCTTCGGTTTCTGGAAACCCTGGCCATTCGGTTTCAAGGCCCGCTGGGGTCAAGACCGGGCTTTAACTCACCGCTTTGGAGGATGTTACATCGGTTTCCCACGGGAGGAAATGCTCTGCCGTCCTTGCAAATATCGCAATTATTCCAAGTCCTTCCTCTCAGCTTCGGGTATTACGCGGCGAGGGATTCGACACGTACCGGGACAAACTTGGTCCGACTAATGTCGCGAGTGCATTCGCAATCGCTGTAACTTTGTAAATAAGTAAAATTTCATGAATACAGGTGTCTAAGCGCATTCGATAAACATTAAAGTTCTCATTGCCTCGTTAAGTTTCCGACCCTGCAAGCGATCCGGACCATCGTTCTATCATGGGGTACCAGGAAATCATGCCGGCGTCGCAAATGTCATGAATGTAGCAATTACTCCGGGTCCTTCAGCCAGCATCGGGTTCGACATGGCCCTGGAAGCCTCGGAGTGGCCCCCTTAGCAGGGAATGATTGATGCGACCCAGTAGCCCATGATCGCGCCAGATGCTGACGGAACCATTAATCGAGGATGGTCCGACCTCGTTCTTCAGGGGGGAGGCCAAATTCCTAGGATTGGCCGTGTTAACAGACGCCGAAATTCTGGGATAACCGTCCGGAACAATTGGGGTCTTCCATGGATGAATTCAGATCCACGACCCGAGTTAATGCTTTGCTCCACTTTATCTCTATTTTATCTCTTATTTTCCCCTTGATCCAGTTCTTAATTATCATTTCAGGGTTACATATTCAAGGTTCTCGAGGAATAATCCTCTAATTGAACGTGCCAAACACCTGGAGATGTGCCTCCGATAAAGGAAAGACATTTTCCTCCCACGACACCCCAAGGGAGGATCCCATCGAAGTTCCTTTCCTCGATTTTGCATCCAGGTGAGCAGAAGCCGGAAAGCGTCCTGAGGGATCCGAAGAAAGGACGGCTCCTGGTCTAAGGAGATTCCTGTGCGGCTCGTTAGAGTTCTCGGAGGTCGAGGTGAGGAGCCGAGAGGACGCGAGATCGATTGCCTTGGTACATGCACAATAACAAGAGACGGCGTCATGTATCCGGGCTAAACAGCCCATTTGCCTCGCACAATGGAGCCACGTCGCTGTTGGCTCAACTTAATTACAGGAGAGCTCTTGCTCCTGCTCCCTGCCAGGTCGATAATTCCCCCATGGGAATTTTCAGCGATCGATCGATCCTCGATCACGACCTTATCGGCTAAGGATTGGTCGAATGGGCGACACCCCGAAGCGCTCCAGATTTCCAAACATCGGGATTAAACGGACTTTGGTGTTTCTTTTTGGCGAAATGGACATCTCGTCGATTCTGCAGCGGGATTAACGAGGGGTCTTCGGGGTTGGAAGAGGCCGGAGTGATTGGACGAAGGATGAATTGGATCAACCTAGGATGAGGAATGGCGTGGACGTGACCTTATAAGGGGAGTGTAAAAAGGGCTCCGCTCTTTCCGGCCAAATTAAATGATCCCAAAGACGTCTCGAGATGTCGTGGGTGGGACGCGACCGTCGTGGCTGTCCAGATACCTTCTGAACGGTAATGGTAACTCGAGCTCTAGAAAGGACATTTTGGAGGGTCGGTAATATTTAGAAAGGCACTCTACAAAGGACTTTAAAATAGGAACATCGTTTACTGCGATCATAGACTCGGAGGCAAATGCATTTAACGTTGACGGAAATATTACCTCTACTTTCGCGGGATGGTCATAATTATTCAAGGTTACCTTCTGACCAAAAAAAAAACGGAACATTCGTTTGCAAAGTACTTTGATGCGAATGCTTTTAAAATATTTCACTCGTACAACAATTTTTGAAGAAATATAAAAACATATCAGGAACGGTTAGTCGCTTTAACCTCGATCATTTCCACGATTCCTGGGAAAGGATTTCATCGGAACGGCAGGACTCGATCCCTTGGTGAATTGTACGCCCAATGAAGCAACCGCCTCCGGTAGGACCATAACCGAGGGTAATTGCAACGCGTACGCTAAATCTACTTTGCGTCAAAGAGCTCACCAAAGTTCTCATAAGCGTCTCTCCCCGGAAGAGGGTACTCCATCAAACGGGGGCACCTGCAACGAGAAGAGAGTGAAATTACTTCGGAGCCACTCGAAACTCTCGTCAAGATGCTCGAGAAGGATTCGCTCCGCACTACCTTTGCGATGTATGGTAACGAAGCGTATTTGCAATCCATTAAAGACAAACCAGTAGGCTACACTAGTCTTCGGGGGAATCAAGGAACTCCGGGTCGACTAAATTGAAGAACTGCATCTTATCGGTATCACTGGCCAAATTATGTTACCTTATTTTTATTAGATTATAAATACATTTTAAGCTCACAGGAAAGTTTAACTTTAATTTCAACGTAAGACTATTATTTAATTTTTTGATCATGTAAGAGTCAACGAGGACCATGCAATCATAAAAGACGTATAAACGATAATAAAATAACTGCAAGTAATATTTAATGCCATGTTCGCTGCTTACAGCAATGCACTACCGTCGATCACACCTCACCTTGAAAGTCGCTAGTGTTAACAATTTAATGCTTCATCATGGTCCGTAATTGGTGACGTCAATGGTTTCCGACGCGAGTAATGTGTCGGTGCCAGTACTTTACCCTGGTCGGTTTCAAGTGCACCTTTCAAATGCATTACAGTTCGTACTTCACCGTGATCGGAAGTACTTCTGTACCGTCAGTGATTGTGAATCGGCAATGACATATATTCAGCACTAGTCCTCGCAAACAATTAATCACTCGTACTAAGTCATTGTCAATCAGTAATATAATATGCAGAAATACTTACACGTTCTTCCATAATAATTTCATAAGAGTGACAACGATGACCAAACGGTAATTAATCCGAACTTCTTTCTCAATGCACTGTTATCGCTCAGCAACGTATCTTAATTTCATACGAAGGTCATAGTTTCGTGCCTCTTAAGTCCGATAATTCCTATAAAATGGCCGAGCAAACATTTCCTGTTAAAATCTAATCACACTCTGATAAGCCATATAAATAAATCATTACGTATACCCCCACAACCATTTCCTCGAGAATCCCATAGATCGCTTCCTGACTGATCGAACGAGTCATTTCGATTTTTGAAATCGACTAGCTCGTTGCAATTTGTAGGACACATTCGTCTGCGTTGAGTTGGTCTTCGGCCTAATTGAACGGCCAATTGGAGATGCGTTCGCGCGAGCGAATCCTTGATACCAGTTTCGTCTAAATTGATTCGTCTCGTTATCACGAGCTCGACCTCTCGTCGCAGTCTACTCCAATTGATAACACCAACGGAGGCTCTACATGGATACTACTCCTTGATCTCTATTACCAGTATTGCGTCGTGCGCCGCTGTACGAACGACCATCCCATTGCGATTAACGGTAAAAAATAAACGTCCGTTCGTCGCAATTCCAGAAGTTATATAAAAATATCGATACATGGTCAAGACCATTGCGACGCTGGTGAACGAAAGTACGGACAGTTCTCCAGACTGCGTCGAGGAGGAGGCCCAGAAAAATGGAGCTGGCCGTCTGGATTTTGGTCGCGATCCTCCTAGTGACGCTGATGTACCTTTATTCAACCTGGAATTATAATTATTGGAAGAAACGTGGAGTCCCGTGTCCCGATGGGTACCTGCCGGCAGTGGGCCATCTGGGAAAGATCATCTTCCTGAAGGACGGCCTCTTCGAAATCTGCAGCAAACACTACAAGAAGATGGCCGGTCGCAGTATGTTCGGTCTCTACACAATGCGAAGACCCATTTTGGTGCTGCGGGACCCGGAACTCGTGAAATCCGTCCTCTCGACGAACTTCACCAGCTTCCAGGAGAACGGGTTCCCCATCGACCCGAAGGTGGACTTTTTACTGGCGGAGAATCCCTTTTTCACAACCGGCGAGGAATGGAAAGAGAAGCGCTCGTTCGTGGTGAACGCCTTCACCAGCGGCAAGTTGAAAGCGATATCCGACAACATCCTGAATGTGGCCGCGAAGCTGAGTGCCTACCTGAAGAAGCGCTCCAGCGAAGTCCAGGGACCCCTCGAGATTGACCTGAAGGACCTGTTTGCGCGATTCACCGCAGAGGTGGCTTCCGACGTCGCATTCGGATTGAACGACTCGTCCTTGGGGCTGCAGGATAATCCCGAATCCTTGCACAACAAGGCTAAGGACATTTTCGCGCCCACCCGGGTCAACATCGTGGGGCACGCCACGATGCTCTTTTTTCCGTGGCTCTTCGATATCATGAGTATCCCCTTCATCCCTACGAAACTCCAGCTCTACTTCGTGGACGCCGTCAAGAACGTCCTAAGTGCTCGTCAGGAGCACAGCTCGCGCAGAAACGACTTCGTGCAAATGGTGATAGACAAGATAGCGACTACCGACAAGTCAGGTCGCATCGACGTGAATATGGTTGCTCCTCACTCGGTGACTTTTTTCGTGGACACCTACGAGACCTCCAGTCTTACGTTGGCCTACGTGGGCTTCGAGCTGGCATTGCACCAAGACGTTCAGGCTATGACTCGAAAAGAGGCTCAGGAGGTTTTGGAAAAATATGGAGCATTCAACTACGAGTCTCTGAAGGAGTTGGTCTATATGGAACAGGTGATAAGCGAATCTATGAGGCACCATCCCGTCATCGGCCTGCAGAAGACCTGCACGGAGGAGATCGTCCTGCAAGGATCGGATGGGTTGACCTGCCGCGTAGAGCCCGGGACCAGAATCCTGATTCCTGTTCACGATCTCCACAAAGACCCGGAATACTGGACCGACCCAGAGTCCTTCGATCCTGACAGGTTCTCCGCCGAAGAAAAACAGAATCGACCGAAGTTTGTGTTCCTGCCCTTCGGGGAAGGACCCAGGATGTGCGTCGGCATGAGACTGGCTATGATGCAGATGAAGATCTGCTTGACTACCCTGCTCCTGGAGTACTCCTTCCAGCTCGCTAACAGGACCAAAGTCCCTTTGGAGATTGCACCCTCGAATTTCTTGAGCGTTCCCAAACATGGCGTCTGGGTTCGCCTGCGGCCATTGAAGACCGAAGAGCGTTCCTAAACTCGGGAGATTAGATGTTAGATCACTACATAGACCGTGATGTGGTGTCCTCCAAGAGGAGTCCTGAGGGTCGATGATCCATTCCGTACCAGCTGCCATCCATCGACGAAGATCGATAATTCAGGCATCAATTTGGGGTGCACCGATTATCGAATATTGAACGCGCATCGACCCAGCACCGCTTTCGGCTACTCCGGGTTACTTAAATCGGATTTTCGAAGTGCATCGAGTTATGGTCAATATCGAATGATGATTAAGGACGATTCTGCTGAATATACGATTTGTCTCTTATGAGAGAGCTCTTCATACAGAAGAAGATATTAATGTCGTTTCTAATCATGTATTCTCCATGTTGAGTAGCCTACAACTTGTACACACCTCTGTATATGTTATTCCAGCTTCTTAGTACGATTTTGAGCTTTGAATGGATCAGTCTTCTCTTAGAGTACAGTAATTATAAATGACGCAAGTGATGCTGTAAATACACGAGTTCGTAAAATCGATGTAAATAAAATTGTCCGCAATATTCACCACTGTACCAAAAATGAGTTTTTAACTCTCTAATATCGAGGAACGTTTTTCTCTCCATTCTGTATAATCTTTTATCTTCGGACCGAGTGAGACAATTCTGAATCCAGGGAAATCGCGTGGATATTCGAGGAAATTCGTCGAAATTCGAACACCCTCCCGAAGTGGAAATTTGCGACTACATAGATATCTGAATATCCGAACGCGTCGATATACCGGACGGATCGAACCTCGTTACCCGGTCCCTCTTTTCCGCCCGTTTAATTCCGCAAAGCGTCGCGACCCGCTCGACAGCCGAGTAGCGCGTTATAAATTATAGCCCCCTAATTACATATTAGCAATCATTCATCCGGCTCGAGAGTTTTCCGATAATTGCGACGGCGCCCTAACCTCCGAGTTGCCGATGTCACGGGACTAAGCTCGCGTTTTCGCGAAACCACCGATCGATCGACGAAACTTCTCCGAATTCCCGATCCCTCCCTAAAATTGCGATCAATCGATTTCACACGTTCAGAAAATAAAAAAGAATAATTATGTTTCTACAAATACGACCCTCGTCGAAATTCTTATTCAAATGTAATAAGTTGCAAATCGACGCTTCTACCGAAACATATATTTAATATTTGGAAATCGTTTACGAACAAATGTACAAATTACAAATTAAGGTATTAAATAACTCGCGTGGATTTTTCTTTACGTTTAAACTTAATTATAATACAATAACCGCAAGTCGCACGTCAGGTTTTTAAGGTATTGGTTCTCGGACGTGCCAACAAATAAAAGTGAAGGAAAAAGGTCGCAGAAAAAAATAAAAAGAGCAATGAGTTTCTTCTTAACTTTCGCAGACTTTCAAGTAGGACGGGGTGCACGTCGATCAGCAAGGCGCCAACCATCGAGTGGGATATTCATGAGAGCGACTCACCCAGAAACTATTCTCCGAGACTCTCGCCTCGAGTGTCGAGCACTTATAATATTTATGAAAGAGACTCTTCCCTTCGAGTTAACGCTGTCCACGTTCCGGCGAATTCCATAACCTCCGAATTTTTTCAGAATTATAAAGAAAAAAGAAAAAGGACAAAAGAAAACGAACTTCGAAGATCCCAGTGAAAGTGTCGCAGTTCTACGTCCAGACCGTATCGCTCTCTCACACGGGAATAAAGAAATTTCATTAAATTATCGCGCAATTACATACAGGAAGGTGCACGCGCACATCGGGAGTTTAAATCGCCTGTACTTGGTCGACTCGGAAAATTCATATTAATACTCCGGGGACAACTGCAACGCGGAATGTATCGGAACCCGATATATCGGGGAAACGAGCGTCCAAAGTTTGGAGCAATATTTACAAAAGAGATAGAAAACACGCGCCGTTCATCGAATTACGAGAGCGACGAGGGGTATTAGGTGTTGCCGTGTTTCCGCCATTCCAGTATATCGATTTCGCGCCGACATCCATTGGGACGTTTCTTTTTCCGCATCCCGGAATTATCTCATGTTATTGAAACTTTGAACGCCAGGCCTTATCTCCGCTTAACGCCGTTTCGCACTCTTTTACCGTCAAATGATTGACATTACCTTTCTCATTCATCGAAAATAAGAGTGAACTTGTGATAGAGCTTTTCTTTTTATAATCATAGATTATGATGTATACTTTGTTTCCTATCTGTTCAAAGAGGGCATGAGATAGCACGATATAAAAATAAGGTATAATTGAGATATTCGAAGAGGTAAGACGTATTCAAACTTAATTCTTTGATTTCAAGTTTTAATTTGCATTTTCAATAATGAACTTTTTGAAGAATCTTTCAGTTTCCTCACGTCGGATCGTAAAGAAAGAGAACGGAACGCTGAAACTTCGTTATCGTCGGATAAGTTCGGAACTGCGAATCGTCGGAATAATCCGAAAGCGAAGGAATAGCGAGACGACGAAACTGAACGGTGTGAAATGAAATCCGGGAGAAATAATCGGCAGGGAGAGACGATCGATGGGTCCGCGGGCCTTCGATTGGTTATCGACTCGCTCCCGAAGGGTCGTTTGCACTTCCACTTCGGAAACTAGTTTCCAATTGCCCGGCGGATTACATGGCCCCCTTCGACCTCGATAACGTTGATTTGTTTGAATTTCTTTATCATTCGATTCTTCGATGAGCTTTCTCCCATCGGAAAAGCTCTCTCTCAATAGGAACTTCCTGAAAAGTTAATGTAAAAGTTACACTAAGAATCTAACAAAAAATCTGAACAAAACCTAGACAGAGTACAATAAAAATTCAGTCGAATTAATTACAACTACCAGTAAAAAGTAATTCCTTCGATAGCGACGTTTTATAAACAAGGAGCTTCTCCACCCAGGCGAGAAATTCCTGGAAGAAATCGATTGATTAAAATTTGCGTCCAATTAATAAAGGGAAAAAAAAGGAAAGAAAGAAAAAACCGCGTCGTTTGAATAGCGACATATTCAGACGCGAAATCAACGCAGGGTGGGTTCCTTTGAGGAAGCGAAGTCGGGGAGATTTTCAGGTGAATAAAAAGCCCGGCGCTCGAATAGGGAGCAGCCTCGATCCGTGGGGCGTTTCTTTTGAACGAACTCCGATATTTCCGGGAGGGTCCTGTATTGGTAAATACAGGCCTCGGGAAAATATCGTTCCCGGTAAGCAGACTTGATTTCCATGCATATACGCTCTCATTGAAATCGAGAGTGGGTACTCGCACAGAATCGAGAACGATTCTCGCGCCTTTGACGTCGCGACGAACTATTGGCGAGGGTTAATTGGAAACTCGAGAGAACCGCCGCCATTGGTGGTCGTAAAGGGAGTTGGGTGAGAAGCCTGCATTGTATATGTGTGCAAAATATATATACGTGGGTGTATAGCGTATCTAGAGCGACCGTGGTTCATACGGCGTCCTGTATTCCGCTGTAACCACCCCGAATTCCGCACTCGAGTCACGATCCGCGGCTGGCTGTATTTGCACCCTCGCCTCTCGGTGTCCTCGAGAACTAATTACAGTCCCTCTTATCCGTTTTACGTTCCGCCGGAGACGTCTTCATATGTCGCTGACTCTTTTTAATGCTAGCGACTCCCCAGATGCGGGGCACTCCTTTTCCGAGCCTCTCGGAATGCACAGCGTTCTTCAAGGTGTTCCCGGGCGAACCGCTTTGACGAAAGGTACTTGCGAAGACAGTTTTTTCGTACTGCAAAATTTACAGCTACTTGACGCTAGCAGTACTCTTTGAGTCTACTAATTGCTAGCATGTTTAGGACTGATTTTCTGTAGGGGTTGCTGCCTCGATACTCCAGGTACAAGGTACCTTTCTCTGGATTCTGTGGTGAATTTACGGTAATTTAGTGCAAGTAATATCTCTCGGGTAAACTCGTCTTAGACAAACTTGACTGTATTGAAGTACCATGGTGTCTTGACTAGCTGCATCCACTGTAACTATCCAAAATCCCACACTCGAGTCACGATCAGACGCTGACTGTATTTGCACTCCACCCTCGCGGTATCCTCGACGACTGATTACAGGCCCTCTTGTAATGACTCCTTCGGAAGAGGGGTACAACATTTCGCGGATCCCGGGGTCGGATACGACTCTCTAGACGGTGCAACGTTATCGACGAGGACGCAAAGGAAAAGGGGAGGGCAAGTCTCGTTACTGAAACTTGATAACCAATGACTATTTTGATAGAAAGCCTTCCACAAATCGGCCCAGTCCTCCCACAAAAAATGACGATGACAAGATTTAGGATGCTTGGTGTATCAGGGGAGGACACAATGCATATCATCCCTGAAATTGAGAACTCGATCTTCTTATGGGGATAAATTGACCTTCTTATGGGACGTTGTCTCCGCTCGACAGCCCTTCAGCCTGGATTCTGATCCTTACAAGATCAACTAAAAAAGTGAAGTCGCTAACGCGATAGCGTATTGCGTGGGACTAATGTCTTGAAAAAGGTGAATTTATGAGACATCACTCTTTATTAAGATAAGATTTAGAAAAACAGATTAAATTGATTGTAGATTTGAAATCGATGCTATCTAGAACTCCCTGCAGCGATGGAATTCTGAAATCAGGAAGTCTCCACAGGATGCCCCGAGAGTTCAAGCCAAAAAATAATGACATTTCTGAAATCTATGACCCCGAATTAGGGAAGACATCTTTTACCGTTTTCGTGTATGTCAAGGTTTAAAATCCCTTTACGAACTTTCAATACGTACACACTAAGAAACAAACTGATAGCAATGCTTCTGTGAAGTGTGATGATGTAATCGTTAATCTTATCCACTTCCCACTACGTCAAGAATATCTGTATATGCTATCTGTCTCATTCGATATATGGTAAATGTTAAGGAACTAAAACGTTTTTCGAACACCATTAAATAATTGGTTTTATAAAATTATTTAATCGAAAATCGTGCGGTCAAGGTTTGACCTTGTTACAGACTTCGCTTCTTCTGGGACGCGGTTCGATTGGCGCACCCAATTGGGAATATTAGTAGACATTACCTTAGGGTCCTAAGTAATTACCAAAGTTCTCCGGGTACACTGTTGCCGTACTTGCAAACTCGGACTTGCCAGGATAATCCGCAACGAGCTGCAAGCAAGGAAACTTTCCTGAGATCTTCGGGGCCCTGGTTCCCCGGAATTTCTCTGCTGCCAAATCGACTCGACCATTTTTCACGTGTGTATGTACTCATTGCTTCCATGCGCCTGCACGGATGATAATTATATACGTTTTCATTTCTTTTGTTAAAGACGAATCTCTAATTCCGTTTTCTGATACCAACTCGACGCCATTCGAAGTTCCGGCCAGATTCGCCAAGACGGATTTCACGTTCCTGCTTCGAAAGCACTTAGGTTCCGCCTTAAAGTAAGGAGTATTAAGACGGACACTAACTTTAGATTCTGAATAATTACCAGAGTTCCCCGCCGTTATGCAAATCGCATGCCATACCGTGTAACTCGCCGTTAACTGCCAGCGAATCCGTAATTTTACTGCGAACATGCATTGA